TCTGTGTACCATATCCAAACAGGATGTTGGTGACCATGGTCTTCCACAGATCTCTCCATCTCACTATATCCAAAGAGGACGTTGGTGACCATGGTCTTCCACAGATCTCTCCATCTCACTTATATCCAAACAGGACTTTGGTGACCATGGTCTTCCACAGATCTCTCTCTCTCTCTATGTACCATATCCAAACAGGACTTTTAGTGACCATGGTCTTAATATTTGTTAATATCCTTTTCATTTTTATATGCAGTGTCAGTTTGTGCTTGATAACATTTATTTTATCTAAAGTTCAGAAAACATTATAATACATGTACAGGCCCGACATGGCCAGGTGGTTAGGCACTCGACTCGCAATCTGAGAGTTGCGGGTTTGAATCGCCGTCCCACCAAACATGCTCGCCCTTTCAGCCGTGGGGGCGTTATAATGTGACAATCAATCCCACTATTCGTTGGTAAAAGAGTAGTCCAAGAGTTGGCGGTGGGTGGTGATGACTAGCTGCCTTCCCTCTAGTCTTACACTGCTAAATTAGGGATGGCTAGCGCAGATAGCCCTCGTGTATCTTTGCGTGAAATTAAAAACAAACAAACAATACATGTACAAGTAAACCATACAGTGTTGCTGCCAATTTTTTTATTATGAGGTTAGGAAAGTTGTTTTTATAGGTCTCATATTTTGTTTATGGTTTATGTGTGTGTGTCACCATCAATAGATCATTTACTTTTTGTATGGGCAAAAGAGTAACAAAGTTTATTAACATTTACTATTCAGTTCATAATTTATGGCTTATGTGCATTTTTGAAAACAAAGACTCATTATCATACTCTATGTTGAATCATATGTATATCAGAAATATCTCTGTAACTGTCTTTGTATAGAGTGCAGCACATGTAAATACAAGACAGATGCATTGTTATATTTCAGTAAGTCGTATCTGGCATTAACTTGTTTTTCAAATGTTTATTCATTTATGAGGCTTGCTTTTTTGTCTTGAAAAAAAAGTCTTGCATCTATACAAAATGATTTAAAAATCTATTTATATAGTGGAAGTAGATTGGACATTAAGAAGAGATACTGGTCTTTATTAACATTTTTCCATAATTGTACAGACTTCTGATGAAAAATGAGAGACATTAATTGATGTATAAAAAAAATTTATGTGAATCATATTTTCAAAATGAATTATGATCGTGAAAGAACAACACAGTTATTGCTGGTGTAAACTTCTTTTATTACATAAAAATTTTGTTTTTAATGTAAAAGTTCTATAAGGTGCGTATGTAATTGTTTTAATAGGTTGCCATCAAATCTGCAATAGGTCTACCACCATCACTTGCAAACCTGGTTTTCTGTCAGTATACTTTCTGGAACCATCACGAGGCTATCCTTGTAGCCCCTGTTGTTATACCAGAATACTCAGCTTCAAGAAAAAGCAGAGACAGAACAACTTTCAGATTTGATCATACTAAGGTGAATGGCTTAGGATGTAGGGGTAATTAGTTTGCTATCCATGAAAGTTAGTGACTGAATTGACTTGTACTCCCTGCTTCAGTGTGAAAAGGATTTATTCTTTATTTGTAACTGCTAATTTTATTGTTAAATTTTGGTTCAAATTCTATTAAATAATACATTTTTCTTACCTATTTTTAACGAACACCAAATAATAAAGAATTGGAATATTGTTTAAAACTCTCGAAAACCTTTATTTTTGACATTTAATGTATTTAGTATTTTGTTCATTAATACCACTCTTGTATATTCTATTTAGACCCAAATGTTTTATTGATATTCATTCCCTGGATATGATAATACATCTGTATGGATGATTGTCATTGTTATGTTTTATCTAGAGTATTTATTATGTGCTTCAGTTATTTGTTGGTGAATATTTTTAGATCTCTTTAAGTAACTAACTGATTGTTTATCTACATAGTTTTGGTAAATATGTCAAAGTTCCTTTCCAGGAATTTCTTGTGAATGTCACAGAAGAATTTGTGGAACATTGTACAGAAGGTGCTCTATCCATTGAAGTCTGGGGTCACCGTGGTTCTGCTTTCACCATCCCCAGACCTGGCTGGATAGCTGAAGCCCAGCTGCAGAGGTCTCGATCATTGATTGATAGGTGAGAATCTGCATTGATTGATTGAAATAGTAATAGGATATAAAAGTAAAAATGTCATAAACTCCCCAGAGATAAATCACCCACCCCTAATGGATGCTTTATTATTTTATATATCTAATAGCTAAAAAAAAATAAGTTCTATATTTCCTATAAATATTCTTTTTTAAGGAGAAGAATGTATTTTATTCATTGCTATGTTATGTTCTGTACTTAATAGTCTCTTTTAAAAGAGAATATAACTCATTGATAGCCCTGTTGGGTTATGTATATAATAGCCTCTTTAAAAAAAAGTGTGTTTTACCAAAACAACCTTAATGTGTTTATAAGATTATTGTCTTCTGCATTTTATATTATTGTATTTTGTAAATAACCTTATTTTCTTACATTGGTAAAAGAAACCATGCTGGGCAAATTCTTCACCTTCACAGTCAAAACATTGCCTTATTATAATAGGAAAGCAAAAAAAAAACTTCACCCTGTAAATTTATGACAATGTATGGGCTGTACATGGGTTTAATTGTTAACAAGAGCCATGTTGGATGTTGGTGGTTTTATTTCAATCAAGCCAGCTCTTGTTTGGAAGTCTACAGTTATAACATCTCTACCACACAGATCAAGGTAGAAGTATCAAATCCATTACAAGAGATAGGGAAGTTTAAAGTATATATAATATTCCTGTTTCTAATATGTATTTTATATTTTACTTAATCTTTTTATGTTGCACCTGCGTAAAACGTGTTGAAGTATATAATTGTTTTTTGGTTTGTGATTGTCAGTATTGGTTAATTAAAGAAGAAAATTTTACAGCTCCTACATTTTTTATAATATATTTATTTATAAATAATAATTAATATTTTTGAGACTCAATGATAGTTTATTAGTGAAAAAGTTGCTGTACTTAACAACAATTTAGAATAATTAATAAAATATCAGCCAAGCTGATAAATGATAATCACAGAAGAATGATAAAAGAATAAATAAAGACATGTAAAACAACTGGAATTAATGAAAGTGAAATGAAGCAACTAAATATTTAATTGATCATAAATCAAACTTATAAAATGCTTTCTCTAAAGTTCATTGCAATGACCAAACAAAAGTCATTGCAGTTGTGATTACAGTGACACTCCCCAAAATTGTGTTCTAATAGAAAAAAAAACACCAATGACAACAAAAAAAAAGCAAACTCTGTCAAAAATGTGACTCGATCATCATTTGACTAGTTTAATTTTTTTCCATATAACAAAAGTTTCATTTATTTTATTTATTAAAAAAAGAGCCATACTTGACAACTTCTTGTATTGTTTTCTTTCAGTTCTCCTACTTCTTCTTTTCCATCCAAAATTTTCTCTGTGTTGTATGTAGGAAGAAGTCACTTCTTCCTAAAGTTTGAGCCCAATGTGGTCACTGTTGATAGTCTTTTTGACTTTTATACATAATGATGCCTTTTAGATAAAGTCTAATTTTCTACTTAAGATCATCTTTTTACCTTCTAATCATAATCTTATTTTCGTATGTGGGTGATATATTTTTCATATTGTTTTTTGTAAATAATATTCCTGCCTTCCATAGATAAAGCTGGCACATTTCTAGGTATTAATAATTAGGAAGTGTTACCAATAGATACCATGAAAAATATAGCTATTTTTGTAGATAACTTTTCTTGCCTCAATATTTTTATTCAGCCCACCTGAAGTATGCCAAAGTTACGCTTTGTGGCACTTTTTCTAATGTATTAAATTGTTATAATCCATATTTATCTTGCCATCTACTGGTAACACTTTTCAATTATCATTACCTAGAAATGTGCCAAAAACAGAAATATTATTTATAAAAAACATAGTTGTTTTTTTTTAGATAACTTTTCTTGCCTCAATAGTTTTATTCTGTAATAGTTTAACGTATTCAAAAAAATTCCACAAAGCATAACCTTGATTTACTTCAGGTGGGCTGAATTGACAAGAAAGCTAGAGTTTTGGGTAGAGATTCAAGAACTGAATGAACAAGGAGACTATAGTCCTGTAGAAGTTATCCCAAAACCAGACAGCTCATGTGGTGGTGTCTACCAGCTGAAGCAAGTGAGCAGAACATTTTGTGATATACATTTCTCCTCTTAACTATAATGATGAGCTTAAGTATTAATAAGCTGTTTTTATAGCAGTACATGTGATGGCAAGGATGGAAAATTGTCTACTTGAACTCAGTCTCTGGTACTTCAGTTGGTACAGGTTCGAACTCAGAACACTAATATGAAAAAGGTCCTGGGTTACAGCCCTGGTCAGGAAATATTTTATAACATCTTTATTTGTAATATTGATGGTAAACTAGTTGTTATTGCAATCAAGGAAACCCTCTAAACTAATAGAAGTTAAATACACCAACTGCTTGGTTTTGAGTTTGGCCCAGTTTACTTTGTGCTAATGTACTATTTTTTATTACTGGTATGAGATTTTAAGGTTAAGTTATGCATGATCCTGTAATTATTACAATAGGATGATGCTTTGCTGGTTGAACCTTGTTGGGTCAGTTGGTAGAGAATTGATTTTAGAGCACAGTGTTTAACAATTGTGGATTTTTTGAATATTTATTATAATGATTAAAACAAAGTAATGGGTAAGTATCAGTTTCTTTTTTTGAGACATTACAAATAATCCTTGAGTTGCTAAAAGGAAGATTAAAGAGATATAATATCATAAACATGGCTTCAGTGCCATAGCTAGGGTACAGCGGGAAGGGCAGTTGCCCAGGGCGCAGCTGGAAGGGTGGCACACTCCAAGTGCTAAACCTGTTATTCAATAATTTATGCAGAACTATACAGATTGGAGGGCAACTAGAAAAACTTACCATTTGAACTTATCATCCGAATTAAGCAAGATAACTTGCTCTGTTTAGTATGGTATGATACTTAAGTTCCCACCTTCACTTCTTATTCTTCAACTATGTCATCTCATTATAACATATATCATAATTATTTTTATATTTTGTAGTGTTGTGGTATTTACCATCTCATTTAGCTACATGTTTCTTTCATAATATCTATAATGTTTTTAAGAAAAGAAAAAAATAGGGCTCGAGAAATAGCATATCCAATGTTCCGAGACATCCTAAAATTCTGCTGGCTACCAAACATTACGGGAAGCATGCTCGACAGGGTAATCAGGTTTTTACTGTATCTGTCATTTCTGTAAAATAAAGTAAAAACTGAGAGTTGAATGAGGAATTTTGATTTGTTAGGTAATTCATTTATGTTCTAGTAATTATCTTTATATTATATTTATTAACTATCCTATGTTATGAAAACACTTGGTTTTGATGGAATAGCGGCCATGAATAACAAATTTGTTCTGCAAGAATGTGTGTCTGGAAAATGTTAGGCAGACCTAAAGTCCAGAATACTATATGGAACCTCCACAGGTGACTGGCCGACCGACATACACGGGCCACGAAGACAGGTGGGGGGGCAGTTCATGAAACTTGCTCAGGGCACAAAAATGACTGGCTACAGCTCTGGCATAATATCTGAAGTAATGGCACAAATTTAAGCTTTCTTTTAAGTATGTATATGTAGCTTATCTGGAGAAAAGAACTCTCATAAAAAATTAACAAATTGAAGAGATAAATTAAATTGTTCATAAAAAAGATATATGACAGAAAAAAGTTTATATTCCAGGGCCAGCAGCGTCGTATTTTAGTGATGGTAAGATCAGTTCAGAATTCTGGTACTCTCCCATTTATATGTGAGACCATAACAAGCATAGCTGTTGGGTGTGTATGTTCCCGCTCCAAACTCCAAAAACCCTTGGATTCATACCAAGAAGAAGATCTGATTCTCCTTCGGGATAGGTGGTCAGAGGCTTTGGTGCGTAGAAGGGAATACTTAGATGACCAGATGCAGAAAGTTATATGTAAAAAAGGTAAACAGTTATTGTTTTAGTAAAAAATATTTCTCTTACAATATGGCTCAAGGTTAAATTAATATGCTAAAATATTTTTGTATTGTAAGCTCAATGAATTTGTTTATTTTAGCTCTTCTCAAGTTGAACATTCAAGATTTTACTTTTTAATGTTCAAAATGTTTTGCTAACAGTTTCTTTTCTTCAACAAATTGTTGTTTTCCAAACACCATCTTCTTGATTCTTGCACCTATGTTGTAGTTTTGATTTTTCAATTTATATTGTTATTTATTCCACTCGTTAAACTTGATCTGCTAGTTATTTAAACATGTAAAACTATTGTTGTGGAAAGTTTGAAATTTATTGTCTTTACTGACACATGTACCTCACAAAGTAATACCTTGAATTCCTTTACACAGTGGGTAATGAGAAAAGGTTTTTGTATGATTTATAAATACCATTATATAACACATTGTATATGTATTGTAGTATTCCCTTACAACACTAAAATATGGGGTTTGATTCCCCATGTTGAACCCAGAAGATAGCCCGATGTGTTTTTGCTCTAAGACTAGCAACCAACCATGTATTGTAGATATGACATTCTGCTTGGTTTTAATCAACCAGTTTCTTACTGCTTGCTTGCTGACACTACATATAATTTTGTTATTAATCTAGAAACACTGTTAGATAATGAAGTTTTAGCCACAGGATATGAAACATTGTTATTTTTGATCCCTACTTATAGACTTAATGCTCACAGTGAAACGTACATGATTAATTGTTTTTAATTCTGAATTATATTTTCCTTAAATTTAAATTCATATATTAAAAGATAAAATATTTTGTATTTATATTGTACAAGTTAAACTGTTTTTTTTTAATAGTGTAATAAGTTTGGCATTGTTAGCCTTAATTATTTGCATTGTTGGGATTTATTGTGGCATTTTTAGCATTAAATATTTGCATTCTCACGATTTGTTTTAGTATTTTTAGCCCTAATTATCCACATTTTCATGATTACAAAAAATTTTTTAATTGTAATTTTTCTTCCATTGCATATATTGGATTGTTTATACTTTTGTTTTTTACAAAATGAGACATAAAAATTTTGTTTATTTTAAATTTTTTTTTTCGTTAAAAGCTCAAATTCTTTTGAAAATTTTTAGATGAGGAGAGAGAACAGAGTCTGATTGACCAGTGGGTTTCTCTGACAGAAGAACGAAATGCCGTCCTTGTGCCAGCGCCTGGATCTGGAATTCCAGGAGCTCCAGCAGAATGGTGAGAATCAACAGTTACAACTTGTAGGTTTCCAGTAAAAAGTTTATGGTAGCTTGTTACAGATAAGATGATATACACTGTGAGACTTGTTACATTTTTTAATTTACTTTGGTGGAAAAAAAATTATAGTGTGGACATCAAACCTAAAAATATTGTTTGCTTCTTTAACCAATAACTGAGAGCTGTTTGCTTCGTATTTTTCAATAAAACTAAATTGGACACATACTGTATTGATTCACTCACAAAGCACCAGGTCTTTTGGTTAAACTCTTTTAAACTTTTGAAAGGCATGCTTTGAAAATATGCATAATGAGGGACCGGGGGTTACTAGTTGTTGGATCAACATAATATATTTTATTTTATCTCTACAAAATAAAGCAATGTTCTTTACTAATACAACATAAATAAAGGTGAAAATGAGACGTGCAGGAAGCATGAATATAACAAGAACTTTGAAGTTTCAAATTCCATTTTTAGCCACTTTTTCTATTATTTTATTTATGGTTATAGTTCAAATGAGAATTTTGAGAATTAGAAAGTTTTTTATGTACAGTTTTTTTGGCTATTGTAGACTTCTGTTTAAATGTCAAACGAAAATGTTTTAACTTTGAATTAACTTAAAATGTTTTACTTCTGCTTGAAGTTTCTTGTTATATAAACTAAAGTAAGAAGGGAATTCTGAAAGATAAAGAAGATTGAAAGCTAAGCTCTTGGACTTTAGTTTTGTATTTAAGGTCCAGTTGATATTCTTCTTAATTTCTTACAACTGTTCTAATTAATTTTTAAATATTTTGAGAATGTCAATGGGAATTGATTTATTTAGGCTGTATAATTTTATGGTAAATTAGTAATAGTGATTGAGGTTTACAGGTGTTTGACCTGTTGCTATAGTGGTTATAACTGCTTTTTAACAGTCTTTTTTTTTCCTTATATTAAAAGCACAATCCCTCTTATATCTGTTAGGGACTTGTTTTATAAACGTTATAAATAATAATAATAATAAATAATTAAGTAAAAGTAAATAATTAATAAAATATATAAAAGCAAAACAACAGAATAGGTTGCTACCAACTAGCAGGTTATCTCGTTGTGGTAAGTGTTTCAAAATTAGGGATAGCACAAAATCACATGGACATTAAGATGAAAAATGTGCTGTGACAGGATTACATACTTGGATGAAGGAGAGCCTGTGCTATGGCCAGTGCTAAAACTTTTTTATAATCCTAGCGTAAAATTGTATGATAAAATACTTTCTTTACCTTTTGTAACCAAATAGTTTGAACATCAGTTTTAATTTGTGTTTATCTCCTGAAAAGGGATCCTCCATTAGGGATGGAAAAGCATATTCCAGTGATCTTCTTGGATTTAAATGGTATGTTATGGTTTTGTTACATTTATCAATCTTAAATTAATTTTCATTAAATTTCTACATCAAAAATTAGTGATTTAGCCAAATAAATCACGTAAACTAGGCTTCAACAATCAGTTGTTATTTAAGTGTATATTTAAAAGTGTGATTGTTTTAAAAAAGTTACAGAAAATTATTTAAAAATTTTAGATAAGAATATTACAGATTTTCTTGGAATAAAACTAATTTCTAATTCTGTAATAATGAAGGTGGCAGCATGAAGTTTTAATACAGTTTTTTCTTGTTTATGTTTTGTGGTGTAGCTGATGATTTGAGTATTACTGGTGATACTTGTGGCGGAGTTCCTGTGGCTGGAGCCAACTCAATCCTTCCGAAGGAACATGGAAGCAAAATGTTTAACCTTCCTATCATAAAATACTCGGATAAAGACGTAAGTGTTAATATTATTTAATTATTGGAGTATAAAAATAACTCAGTGTGAGAGTAACTGAAAATCAGATGGGAAAAATATCTTACTCTGAGAATAACTGGGATCCAGATAGAATGAAGAATTATAACACTGAATATAATAATTATACTGATATTATTCACATTATTTTAAAAATACATATCTTTCTAGTTATACATCAACTTCTCAACTTCATAACTTTTAATGGTGATATGTGACACATAAACACCATCTTAAGGGGTCAAATCCTTTTAGTAAAAGTTGTACAAACATCCATAATTTTGGCATAATATGAATTTGTTGTTTCGCTATTAATTTCTCGTTATACATTTAAAAATCTATTGTCAAAAATTGACGTTTTTAAGAATTTTGATAATTGTCTTTTGTGATATTCTGCCAATTTTTGATATCATCGGTATTCTAAGTTAACGTAGTAATTCAAGACTAGATTTTTATGTACATACATTTTATAACTTTGTGTGGAACAATTTCTTGCATAATGTATGTATTTGTAACACAGTTGTAATTTTCAGTAAAATTTATAATCTGTGATAAGGTTATGTGATTAATACTAAATATTAGCTAACATTCTTTTGGGGGTAGTAATATTATTGTAGTTAAACCCAGTATTTCAAAATAAAGCTGAGTCCTTTTGTTCATCTTAGCTATCAGCTGTATCTGTGTGGGATTCCTCTATCCATGACTCCATCCATCTAAACAGAGTAACTCCTCAGAATGAACGAGTTTATTTAATCCTCAAAGCTTCTGTGCGTCTTAGTCATCCAGCTACAATGGACATCTTGCTCCGAAAACGACTTGCCCTAAATGTGTATAAAAAGCAGTCGATAGTGGAGAGAATGAGGAAACGCATTGCAAGACAGGTTACTTTTTTTTACTGTTGTGACACTTTGGGTTAATTTGTTTTACTGTTATGACACTTTGGGTTACTTTTTTACTGTTTGTAACACCTTGGGCTATTTTTAACTATTTTGGTTACTGTTTTTTACTGTTGCGGCACATTTTTAATAATTTAAAACTTAATAGTTCCACCAGTGACAGGGACATTTCACTGTTGGCTACCTGTATTGTTTAAACAACACTTTGATATTTATCTATAATTTAGCTTTTTCAACCTCATCAGTGGAAAAGTATTGTATTTGATATTATTTCAAAATATATTCAATTACATCTGTATTTTTCATTTTCAGTTTATGTGTTTTGGCATAAGTGTTATCAGAAGTTTCACTTGCATGATTGTTTCCTTATTGATTTTCATTTTTTTCTGGTAAGCATTCTTTCTTGTTATTTTTTATTATTAAATATATTTTCTTGTATGTTGGATTTTTAATTTTTTTCTTTAAACCATCAGTTTCCGTAAATAATAATGTCAGAGAGTACTAGATTTGTTAATTTTTTTTAGAGAAATACTGTAAGCGTATTTTACCTCCCTCTAAATTTTTAAGATATGCATACGTGTTATCAGCTCTTTCATAGTTTCAATTCAAATAGTAATAAATGTTACAATAAAAGTCTAATGTGTATGTATGCAAACATTTTACAAGAGGGTTATATTAATCTTTATAAGTATCTTAACTAAGTTTCCATTTTCTGAAGTATACATATTTGTAATATATACATAATAAAATATTTCTAAAGTTCTTTAATGAAATTTGATCCAAAATTTTTTGAGATGGCTCTTGTTTAATGGACTTGCATGTATCCCAAATTGTGTAATATAGTTTTTTTACTAAGTTTCAGATCTAAATGATTGTGTGGCTAGTTTATGTAGTCAACTGCCAAAATGTATTTGGTAGATTATCACAGAGTTTTTGCAATTATTTTGATAGAGAGGAAATAGTTTCTCAGGTTTTTTTTTAGCTAATACTACCTTCAAAGTTAGATATTGTCACCCAGTAGTTTACTTTTTTTTTACTCCCTTTGAGAAACATTGATCAAACTTACAAAAGATGTAATCATTTGGTTCTACAGAAATGTTACTTCAAATATACCAATCACTCAAGTGTCATTCTGTTCTTTTTTATCATTGTAAAATTTGGTGAAATTATTCACAGAGATTAAGGTGATGTCAAGAGCTGTAATTTATAATATTAAATCCATGTAGAAATAAAAAAACATTAATACACTAGATACAGTATTGTGGCTTAACTTGCTTAGTATCATAATAAATATGGCCAGGTGGTTAGGGTGCTCGACTCGCAATCTGAGGGTCGCGGGTTCGAATCCCTGTCACACCAAACACGCTCGTCCTTTCAGCCGTGGGGGCATTATAATGTGACGGTCAATCCCACTATTCGTTGGTAAAAGAGTAGCCCAAGAGTTGGCAGTGGGTGGTGATGACTAGCTGCCTTCCCTCTAGTCTTACACTGCTATATTAGGGACGGCTAGCACAGATAGCCCTCGTGTTGCTTTGCGCGAAATTCAAAACAAACAAACAAACCATAATAAATATATCATAACATGCCCAAATTGTGGACATATTCACATAAGTAGGCAATGAGAGGAGATGTGTATGTATGTATGGGACTTCTGACATAAATAGACCTTTCTAGTTATAATAAGGCAAAGATATTTAGTGCATGCTTAAAATCTTAGAACATAAATTAAACGTTCTCTTTTGTTTTCTACAAGTTCATAATCAAGCATTCCATGTAAGTAATGGGGTTAAACATTTAGTTTAAAATGTGTAGAATTTGAATTATGTGTTAGTATGTTATTGTAAAACTTACTCTAAACAAAGTATTGTAGTATTTAAGTATGCATATGCATATCTACAATACTTTTAAATTGTTCTAATTTGGAAATGCAGTAAATCTGGTTGAGATAATTTGCAACCAGATTTAGCCTGATGTGTTACTTTTAGTGGCTATTCCAGCCAAGGAACTTATTTATTGTCTCAAGAGATAGTTGCATTTACATGTCCTGTTTTACCTTGTGTATAAAGGACAGCTTCAAGACCTGTCACTTGGAACAAAGATACTTCCAGATTTATACAATCCCATTTGGGACTGGTCAACATTGTTGGTGCTTTCAGAAAGATTAGCATTTTAAAACTGTATATCAGTTATTGATCATGTAATAGCCATTAATCAGCCTTTCAGTTTACCAGTAGATCAGCCAGCTTTAATTAACTAATTTAGTTAATTACAAATTTAAATTGCTTTTCTAATAGTTTGTATATAAATACATATATTTGTGTTTTATCATTTCTGAAGGTAATTTTACAAACCAAAATCTAACCTCTGACTACTTGAATAAAATGAGAATATGTTAATGCAGAAAATGATACTCTTTGTTCTTGTAGGAATGCATTTATGGAACTGGGGTAATGTATGAAGTGGTGTCAAACATTCCAAAGGTAAACTTGAATTATAGAACTAAACTTATTATTTTAATATTCCGCTAACATGTACTGATTAAAATAACATTTTATTGAAATTGTGCGTGAAAACACATTAAATATTGAATATTTTTTTTATTGAATAATTTTCTTTATTTCTGTATTTAGCATTCTGTAGAAGTTCTTTTCCATAATAGAATTTAATTTTTGCATTTATTTTTATAAAAGAAATTCACTTAAATTTTTTAAACAAACAACAAGAAAGTAACTGGAAAAAAATGAGTTAATAATTTGGATGTCATTGAGATTCAGAAAATATTTTGGGGATGAAAGAATATTTGAAATATACATAGAGAAAAGTAAAACAGTTTTGGAATTGTGAGAAAAGAAATGAGTTATCAAAACTGCATAAACATTTGTCTTTTATTATTATTTTCAATGAAAGCTTATTGATTTAGTAATTCCATTTCACTTCAGTTACTTATGCATACGTCTGACAAATGATGACCTGGATAACTTGTTTATTTATTTGGAGGTACTTTGTTCTCTCTCTCTTTTAACGTAAATCTTTCCTCACAATCGTAGCTGTACCATAAGTTACGCTAAACACTTATTTCCTTATAATTGGATGTTAGTATTAGTTAATTAATTTGTTTCAATTGAGCTTGCAGAGTTTTTTAAACTCTGGTTAGAGATTAATTAATCTTCTATGTTTGTGATATGAAAATGGTTATTTTCAAATGACTGTATTATGATAATGATAGTGGTTAGTTGTTTTGTGGCTCAGTATTATAATTATATTAAAATCGTGTAAGCCAGTTTATGTGTGAATTTCTGCACCACTAATGGTATTATTACATCATCAGTGAATTCTATTACATATGAGATACAGGGTCTTCATAAACAAAAATTCCAATCCAATATCTCTTAACATTCTCTTGGTTCCTGTAAGTGAAATGGCAAGGGTGTGATTTTGTTTTTGTGTAGAGTTACAGGAATAATAGTGGTGGAGTCGGGAGAGATGCCAAAGCTTATCTGTTAAATAACATTACAGGTCCAGAAATTTTTTGATGTAAAATTGAGTCTTAAGTAAGTAAATCATGCAACAGAGAAAATTACAGTGTAATTAAACAATAATACTTACACATTATACTTAAAATACATAATATCTAAAATACTTACACATTTAAATCTCCTCACATGTCTTTTTCTCTGATTTTCAAAGAAGATTATATGTGAAGGATACAACACTGAATTAACAGAGATAGCTATTTGTTTTGCTAATTAGTGTTTTTTTTATTATTATTTATCCTCTTGATGGAGAATTGAATAAGAATCATGAAGATTGAAACTTTATCAAAATTTCTGTAATTCAGGCTTCAGAAGACCCCGAGGATCGAGAATCCCTTGCTCTTATGGCTGCATCAGGAGAGGATGTTGCGACCAATGATGGTGAGAGTTACATAGAGAAGTACACAAGAGGAGTTTCTGCAGTTGAGAGTATCCTAACGCTGGATAGATTAAGACAGGTATTATTCTAACTCAAAAGAAAGTATGTTTAAGAATCATTAATGAAAATTAAATTTTGCAATTCTGCTTTTCTTCTTGTAAACATTGTTCTTAGAGAATCAGTAATTTTTCTGCAGAATTTCAATGTTTCAAACTATAAGTACCTCAAGCTATTTAGCGACCTCACTTGTTTGCTCATTTTAAGGATTCGTATGGAGGGGATATATTTCTATTGTATTCAGCAACGGAATAACTTGATATTTTCTATATTGTGCTAATACTTAAAACATAAAAGCCATTAGCAATTAGAGGGTGTGATTTTTAATGTAATTTTTTAAAAAATGAAGAAATTTGTGTTTTCTTTAGAACCCCCAAAACATTTTTTACAACTGATGGTAGCTACATGTAATTATAAACAAGTATAACAAACATTTTTTTATTTATAAGACAAGTAGGGATTGATATATGTGTAAAGTAGCTAGCTATAGTAATATAAAAAGTTTTAATGCTACACAAAGTATTCCAACAAGAAAGTCAAAACTATAAAAACTGAGTTGCTTAAAATTTAATTTTTTTATCCCTACTTAGGCTTAGACTAAAATAATTACAATGATTTGGAATTTTGACTTTCTTGTTTCAGTATTTTTTGTAGCATTAAAACTTTTATAACTAGCTAGGTTATGTATATACTGACCCCTACTTATCATTATAAAATTAAAAATTTTTTCTATTATACTTGTTTGTTTGCTTTTTATTAGCTATATTTATGTGCACCAGCAGTGCCAAGCGTGGGATGAGAGTATACCAGATTCATTTTATTACTCATCAGGATCTCTACCAACCTACCCTCAAATCTAATTATATACCCAAAGTAGTGCATTGTCCATCTTATATATATATATATATATATATATGTATTAATATCCTTTTTGGTACAAGAAAGGAATTATTATATGTATGTATTTTTTATTTCTTAAGTATTTTAAATGACTAAACCTAAAATGAATGTCAAAATATGAAATGTTTTGCATACATTTGTTTTGTGTGAAATTCATTTACTTTTTATAGGAAGTTGCAGTTAAAGAGCTACTTACTCTTCAGCGACGATTTTTACGGAAAACCCTGAGCGTTCCCAACATAGGTCACGTAAGTAATGGGGTTAAAATAACTTTAAGTTAAACGTATACTTTAAAATGTGTAGAGTTTGAATTATGTTTTAGTATGTTATTGTAAACTTTACGCTAAACAAAATATTGTAGGATGCATATTTATATCTACAGTACTTTTAAATTGTTTTGATTTGAAAATGCAGTAAATCTGGTTGAGATAATTTGCAACCAGATTTAGCCTGATGTGTTACTTTCAGTGGCTATTCCAGCCAAGGAACTTATCTACTGTCTCATGGGGTAGTTACATTGACATGTCCTGTCTTACCTTGTGTATAAAGGACAGCTTCAAGACTGTCACTTGGAACAAAGATACTTCCAGATTCATACAATCCCATTTGGGATTTGTCAGCATTTTTGGTGCTTTTAAAAAGATTAGCTTTTACTGTGGTAAAGTGCTGTGTTTCATATACTTTTATTTTATTATACATGCTGCCCCCTAGTGGCTCATTGGTAAGTTTGAAGCTTACAAAACTAAAAACTGAGTTTGAAACTCATGGTGGGTACAGCACATATAGTAAATGGTGTAGTTTTATGCTTAACAACAAAACAAAAAACAATTATACATGCTAACCATATTATTTTACCTAAATTTCATCTTTTTCAATCCAAGGCCATTCAAGGTTATCGTACAGTATGATGTAAACAGTACATAGATGTAAAATATAAAAAGGGCAACATTGTGCAATAAACTTTATTTGAAAAATATAGGCAAAAACCACGTTTTTATGCTTTACCTAAGATTTAGAAATTAAATAATAGCTTTAGACCTATTGTATCTAGTATAGGTACCTTATTTCAGTATGTTGCAAAGTACGTTGCTAAAAGATTTTCATATTTGAGTGATAAGAATAAACATACTATTAGAGATTTTGCTGAATTTGTTGAAAAAATCAAGAACATTAATCAAAATCCTTCTGACAAATTGGTATCATTTCTTTGTTTACTAAAGTCCAGGTAGAAGATGATATTAATTTTTTTCATGATAGATTAGTTCAAGCTTCCATTTTTTAGGTTGAAATTGTTGTCATTATTAATTTAGCTAGAGTACGTGTTAAAAATTCTTTTTCCAAGTTAATGAGAAATATTATGAACAGAATATTGGATTAGCTGTGGGTTCTCCTCTTTCTCCACCCTTATCTGATCTTTATATGGACTGTTTTGAAGGTATTGCTCTTGATAATGCAATTTTAAATCCCAATTGTTTGATTAGATTTGTTGATGACACCTTCTCAGTTTGGTGGCATGAAGATACCGAATTTAAAATATTTGCTGATTACCTAAATAATATCGATCCCCCTAAAGCTATCCAGTTTACTTATGAAATTAACAAGATAAGTACGTTAAGAAAGGTAAATAATTATAAAAAGAAATAATAAAGGAACTATTTCTACAACTGTTCACCGAAAACCTTACTCAGTTTCTATGCCGCCACATCAAAGATCATGTCGCCCATTTTCTCAAATGTTAGCGGCTTTTCATACTTATATAAACAGAACATTTAACATTTGTTCTGATCCCATTGATTTAAAATATGAATTAAATTTTATAAAAGTCGTTGCTAATGATAGAGGTTATACTGTTGATATAATTGAACATTTAATACAAATAAAATACAATTCAAATTGGATTACACAGTGCACTAGATTAAACAGTGTTTATTATTAGAACTAGTATATTGATATTAACATATGTAAATGGTATAACTAGTCGAGTTGCCAATGTATTTAGAAAACATAATTATTTTCCCATTTTTAAGCCATTTATAATATTAAAACAATACTTCCTAACCCTAAAGATAAAAAAGATATTCTATCAAATTAGATGTGAATGTAACAAAAAACATATTGGCCAAACTAAACGTAATTTGAAATACCACATTAATGAACATAAAGGTTATGTACATAATAACAAGATGTTAATCTATCCAGTGGTCGAAGATGTAGAAACATGTCACTCAATGTAGTGTCATAAAACAGTAATTTTAAATTAACCCAATACAGTAAATGAGTTTAATATCAGAGAATCTATAGAAATTTTGTGTTGTAAGTTAAATAATAATTTGTTAAATAGAGATGAAGGGTTGGCTAGCGATAGTACTGAATTTTGGAGAGAAATATTGACTTCATATGCTCACTCCAGTGAATTAGAGTGAGTCTGACCATTCTAGTATAAAAACCCGCTGTTTTCATTGATTTATACTCCTGATGATGGTAGTGGAAGCTACCGAAACATGTAGAAACATTTTTATTGTATAATGTAAACGTTTTGGATGTATTTTTTAAAGTAAAGTACATTTATTATCTTTTGCACTTTCAACATTCCATCCAACTACGTTTTTACACTTCTTGTTATTTGGGGATATTTAATCTGTGTTATTATGCTTCTAAACTATAGGACTATTATAATATGTATGTAGTAAACTTGACTGCTTGTTTCTGATAGGATCAGAGAACAAATTAAGGATGTAAAGTTTGATCTACTAATAATGCTAGCTGCAAAATGTGCCACTAAATAAATTGAAAACATGGAGCTTGAAGTAATAGAGTTTTATCTCTTTGTTTTTAGAAATAGTGCAAATTTCAAGATGATTTTTATGTCATTAGTTTATTATAAAGTTATGTTTTATGTCATTAGTTTATTATAAAGTTATGTTTTATGTCATTAGTTTATTGTAAAGTTATGTTTTATGTCATTAGTTTGTTGTAAAGTTATGTTTTATGTCATAAGTTTATTATAAAGTTATGTTTTATGTCATTAGTTTATTAAAAAGTTATGTTAGTTTTAAATAATTATTTAAATTTATATTTGATTCTTCTCTTATTTAGATCATGAGACGTGATTCCAGTTATAAGTTGGATGACATTTTGAGAAGTGACTCTACAAGTGACCATTTGTTACCTGACACCTATCGGCAGAGGCCTACTTCACTAAGGGATTCAGGTAGTGATAGTAAAAGATGGTCAACATCAGTAGGGAATGTCTCACAAGAAAATCCTTTCATTCTCGGTGAGTCTAATTTAAAAATTCTTCTGTCCATTTTGTTATAATCATCATAATTGATGATTAGTTTAAATTAGAAATACTTCTTTTCATTTTGTTATCCATCATAGATTAATTAGTAACACAAGGAGTGTTTCTGGTCTTTCCTTTGATATATTAATATGAAAAGTACAATATTATAATATTTTACTTTTTTAGATGAATGTAATTTGATTAAAAGAAATTGAGTAAGTGATGAATGCATTATACTGTATGCATGTAAGTAAGGTAAACTATGGCAGCTATAAAACACGTTGGCCAAGAAAAATTACTTGAAACTAATATGACTGTGTAGGACATTCAGTACATTTAACTTATTATAGTATATGATTATTAGCCTTATAGTAATGTAAGACCATGCGGTAAACTTGATATTTGGATTGTTTTTATCACACTTTAGACATGAGGTCAAGGGCTAAAGATAGTAACTGTACATCAGATTTTTAACTTAGGCTTATAATTCATTACAGTACATAGAAATAGACTAATTTAATTAAATGTTCCAAAAGTTAAGGTCATTCACCTGTATTTTTAAATTGTATAGTGCCCTTCAGCTGCCATGCTGAACTTGTATTGATATCTTAAAACTTCTTTTTTTTTTACCTTTTTGTTAAGTCTTTTAATCCTTAAATATATTATTGAATTTTATTACATTGTTACACTGGCTTATTTCAGATTTACAGCTTACAATAGGTAGTACGATATCTGATAACTTTTCTAATAATCAGTGTGGGCAACAGAAGAGGTAATATGTCACCTCAGGCAAGTGACGTGTAATTTTAAAGTGATGAATACATACTAAGCTTGTAATAGAAAAAGGTTTGAATATTTTATATAGCAGTGACACAGTACTATTATAAAGAATTTGTTTAACACTTCTCCATCAAGAATAGCAAAGTTTTATTCACAGTATTGAAAGTAGGGTCTGTGTGTTCAGAGAGTGTTTTTGGCTGAGTCTTTCTTCAGAATTGGCTCACAAGAGAAAAAGCAAGGGTAATCCATAAACAAACAGATGTTAACATGTTAAACATGCTGCTTAAACACATTTTTAAGAAAGAATGATAAGTATACCTTAAAACTAGCCCAAGATTTAGTTCTATAAGTAATGATAATTAAGCTAAGTTTTTCATACTGATGTTTTAAAAGAATGGCTTATTATGAGATAACTAAATTCAAGGTAGCTGTAGGAGTTAGTAAGACTGATAATTGAATGTTTGGTAGTTAATTTCTTGTTGTCTTGAAAGTTTTTTTAGAACTAGTGTAAAAAATCTCAATAGAATTATTTTTTTTTGTAGTGTAAACTGGAGAGTTAAAGGAAAGTAAAAACGATTTCTCCAGAATGATATCATTATTCGTTATCTCACTTTGCAAAAAGAAGATTTGTGTCAGAATGTTGAATAATAAAAACTGTTGAAATATGATGGGATGTTATTTTCTATATGAGATACCTCAAACTGTTTGTTTTCTCAACTGAAACTTTACAGCTTGATTAACTTGGTGTAAAAATGGGATAAGCATGGCTTTTTTTTTCACTTTTTTTTTGTATATTATGCACAGCATAAAAATCACTTTGCACATGTTCAGCATGATGTGTACTGCACACTAGAATTAATGTAATACACCTGGTACAAGAAATGGCACCTACTGTTCTGTGGTGTTAAAAAAGTTAATTGAAGTCTAAAGAAAACTCTATTTTTTTATTAATTTAATGGTTCAAATAATATCTTTCATGCTTTTAACCCTTTCCAGACAGGTCATGGGTGAAAGGCCATGTCATCACGTTTGTTGACTCGCATTCAAAATTTTATTGAACTGTTATTTCATGATTTTATGTCAATAAGTTTGGTATCAAACTGTAGATTATAATTGAAATGTTAGTATTATATATTATTCAGTTTCTTAATTTAAAAGTAAATATTAAAAAACATCTATTTTTGTGTGTCATGTATACATTCGTGGTTACCCTTCTAGAAGATCAATCTAATCATTAAATGTGTTTTTCTTTTTATAACAAATAAAATTGTAATCAGAGATACGTGAGTGAAATAATTTATTCTTATAGTACCTAAGAAACCATAATGGAAAAAAAAAAGTTCTTATTAACAAATACAGCCATTAAAAGTCTTTTTGTTTTGAGCTATGCACGTAATTCAGGTTAAGTAACTTATTGATTGAGTATTTTTCTATGAAATGGTTTTAAAATGTACCATTTTATTGTCGTTTTGAAAAGTAATTCCCGAAATGAATATTTCCATGTTACAGAATAATAGAATCTTAAAAGTCTGTGTAACATAGTATAAGTATATACAAAAATTCCCTAGTGAAGAATTAACAGAATCCTTTGAAAATATCATCTAGTTATGATTATATATAGTAATCTTTTAAAAAATTAAAGTAAGTTTTTTCTCTGCCAGACAAGTTTAAGAAGAAAAAGTTGGAATTGTATAATTTTCATGGATAGCTTTTCTTCAGCTCAAACAAACTGTAAATATTTAGGTGTGTTTATACAGCTTTTGGTATTTGTTTTATAATGTTTGAGGAAAAACCTTACATCTTCATGAAAATATTATTTATTTTACAGGATTTCATCTAGGTAAGAATAGCTCTTTTTTTTCCAAAAATTAAAGACAATTGAAAATATGTAAAATTTTTCAAATCTTAGGAAAATTATCACATTTTTCAGTAACACAGCAGAGATTGATTTTTTTTTGTACTTTAGAACAGTAAGAAATAAAATGAACTTCAAAAATTTACAAACATTAAATTTACCATTAGGAAAAGAAGTTATAATATAGAAAAGGCAATATGTGAGACTGGAACAGTTCTTCTTCTCACCATCTGTACTATTCACTTGGGGTCTGTTTTTCTGGTTCTTGCCCTCCATTTTTTCCTATTCTGTATCAGACCTACTTTCACATTGTATTTTCTCATGTCTTCTCTCACTACATCCGCCCTCCAGTGGCACAGCGGTATGTCTGCGGACTTACAATGCTAGAATCTGGGTTTCAGTACCCGTGGTTGGCAGAGCACAGATAGCCCATTGTGTAGCTTTGTGCTTAATTACAAACAACATAATGCCCCCCAGTGGCATGTCTGCGGACTTACAACGCTAGAATCCGGGTTTCAGTACCCGTGGTTGGCAGAGCACAGATAGCCCATTGTGTAGCTTTGTGCTTAATTACAAACAACATAATGCCCCCCCAGTGGCACAGCGGTATGTCTGCGGACTTACAACGCTAGAATCCGGGTTTCAGTACCCGTGGTTGGCAAAGCACAGATAGCCCATTGTGTAGCTTTGTGCTTAATTACAAACAAACAAATTCACTACATCCATTTACTTTTTTACACTTTTCCTCTTGTACGTTTCCTTTCCATTGTTATGTTCATCGCTATCCTACCAATATATTCTTCTTTGCTTTTCACATGACCGAGTCATTTAACGCAAGTTTCTCACATATTCTCCATAGTTGTTAATACGTTCAAATTCTCCTTAATGGTTTTGTTCCTGATGCATTCTTTCTTTGACACTCCTGTCATCTACCTTAACATTTGTATCTCTACCACGTTTATCACCTGCTTCTCTTTCCTTCTTAAACTACAGCATTTAGCCTCATACAACATGATTGATCTTAGCACTGTCTTATAAATCTTCCCTTCAGCTTTACTGGTGTCCATCTGTGACACACCATTCCTCTGACTTCTCTCCACTTCATCCATGCTTTTTTATTCTTCCTTTGATATCCATCTGTGACACACCACTCCTCTGACTTCTCTTCACTTCATCCATGCTTTGTTTATTCTTCCTTTGATCACTTTACTCACTCCTCCATCTGCCTGCACAGTTGATCCAAGATATTTAAATAACGAGTCTTGCTCTAGTCTACTTTTTGTAGTACTAAGGTGATGACACTGTATGTTGCTTCCGAGGGATGCCCTAGCTTTGTGATTATATCTTTTGACAGTTAGCCCTACTCCACATAATTGGATTTTGGACAAATTTTTATATATTTGGCAATATTTGAGCTTTACGATCAGCTACCTGCCTGATATTAACCCTCCACTTTATAACTGGGCTTGGGACAAACTTTGGCAGAGTTGAGACTTGAACAATTTTTGGTAACAGATGCATATAAAATTTATTAAAAGTGCCTTCTCTGTATTCTGTGATATTCAAGTAGAAGACTCATAACTGTTCTCAATACAATTGGTTTGCGAAACAAAAGTCGTATTATGTAGAGTGAGAGATTTAATTCCGTACTAATATATTTTGCTGGATCTTATAATATTTGTGTATGGTATTATTTGAATCAGAAATATAGTATATATGTCAACACTGAATGAATCTCCATTACTTAATACTTGAATTCATGTTTTATTCTATCTTTATGTAATAGAAATAGTGTGACACAATGTTGGATTTTTGGACTTTTGAAAACGAATGGAAATTGAAATTATATGAGCCCTAAATGAGACCCTAGAATTACAATTACTGTGTTCTAAATAAATATATATATTTATATATTACAACTGTATTTTAAGAGTGAATGTATTTTGGGGAAAACAAGAACAGTCACTCTTTTTTTTTTCAGCTCGTCCAACGTTTCTGAACCTAAGTTTCAATCTCAACTTGTGGCAGGGGTCTTCATCCAAATGTATGTGTGCAAATAAAACTTGACCCCCATCATTTGTTTCTGTTTATTAGTGCATGAACTTTAAATCATTTCCATTGCATGGTGTGGGTATTGTAGATATTTTTGTTTCACGCATTAGAAGTTGTTGTTTTAAACTTATCCACCACCTCATCACTGCTTGAAGTTTGTTTTCACTGCTTGCATGCTAACTAAGCACTTTTTAATGGAATTTCTCAAGTAATCAGTTCATCTGATTGATTTTTGTTGATCAAACTAGTGATTTATTTGTGAAATAATTAGAATAGTTTTATTTTTATAGTAGGAGTAGCATTTGTGGATAACGTATGATATTTTAAAGGTGTATAAAATGTAAAATATACTAACAAATGTTTTATTAATGAATATTTTAACAAGCACATCAGAAGTCAGTAAAGAATATGTATAATGTGATCGTTACATACTTAGTTTTCTTCTCATTATCACTATAAGCATAACTTATTTTCGTTACAACATTTTTTCTCTTTCAGTTTAGCAAAGGAGAAAAGTGTATGAAATTTGTTATTAAAAGATATTTTTCTTATGAAAATCAAAGCCTGTCTTTTTCCAGAAAATAAACCATATGTACAACAGCTTTCAAGTAATGCTCCTAACTGTGGTAGAAAGGCATTCCAATGAATTGTACATAGTCATAGGTATGACCATACCAATGATTAACACCATTACTATACTTGTATGTTACATACCACTTCTCCATGAAATATATTTATATATGTATTTAATGTGTTTTGTTCTGTAGCTTCTCCATTGAGTGGAATGAGCCCTCAACCAAAGAAACTAGTAAAACCCATGTCGACACTGTTGGAAGAACAGACTAACCGAGACTTACATCTCATTCGTGGCCAGGAACTTCTTGAGGAAGTAATCTGTTGTTTTTTTCAAGATTTATTTTTCATTCAGAACAAAATAGAAATTCTTAATTCATCTAAATGTATATTTAAATATGAGTGTATCGATATCTGAAGGGAATATGTTTTTTTTGGCAGTTTTCACCACTCTCAAATTATATTATATAGTTTTCTTGGAGATTTGAAGTGGTATATGTTATTTCGATGATGTAAATTTTATGTTATTAGAAAAAAAATATTCCATATCTTGTTGTAAAAGTAGTGTTTTAAAGTGTACAACCTAAAGTATTGCAGTGTCTTACTATTATTTTTAATTATGACAGAATTACTGAATCCATTACTATAATAATGCATGATGATGATGCAAAAGTCATGCATTGCTATGATTTTTATAAGGTATATTTATGTTTTACTAACTGTTTCTTCTTTCACTGAAATACTTGGTTGGGATGACATTAACCTTTCAAGAAGAGACTTCATTGTCCTGTATTTAATCCTTGGTCGAAGAATCTTTTATCTTGCACAAGTGTCAGTCATGTGCTTTCCAAGTTTCATAAAATTGATTCTGTGGTTAAGTGTAATTGCATTAGAAGACCTTTGAATATATGTAATGGCAGGACTTCAAAAGATCACAGTGATGTGTGACTTTTAAACCACCTTTCATGTCCATCTGTCATAGGTGTAGAGATTCAATCTAGTCTTGTAAGGGACCCTGTCATAGATGTAGAGATTCAATCCAGTCTTGCAAGGATCCTGTTATAGGTGTAGAGTTCAATCCAGTCTTGCAAGAGACCCTGTTATAGGTGTAGAGATTCAATCCAGTCTTGCAAGGATCCTGTTATAGGTGTAGAAATTCAATCCAGTCTTGCAAGGATCCTGTTATAGGTGTAGAAATTCAATCCAGTCTTGCAAGGATCCTGTTATAGGTGTAGAAATTCAATCCAGACTTGCAAGGATCCTGTTACAGGTGTAAGCAATTCAATTCAGTCTTGCAAAGGGACCCTGTCATAGGTGTAGAGATTCCATCCAGTTTTGCAAGGAGCCCTGTCATAGATGTAGAAATTCAATCCAGTTTTGCAAGGGGTCCTAGATCAAGGACTTCCAGCTATTATGTACATGTAATCATGTCTGTATTAATTACTTGTTTTTTGTAGGCCTCTGATGGTTTAGAGGAAAGTGATGGAACACCTGAAAAGCAATCCCAGGAAGAAATACGAAACAAATTAGAATTAGCAGAGTTGGAATCCAACAACAGAAAAATAAACAACAGGTGTTTAAGAAACAGCGATCCTAATCTTAAGGATAAAATTGGTTTTACAGAAAGAAATCTTAAACACTCTGCAACTCAGGATAGTCTGACAGAGCTTCAGGTAGAATTAAGTAGTTTTTCTTCAGCTATTAGAATAAATATTAAGAGAAATATAAACAGTCTTAAAGTATGACTTATTTCAGAAAAAACAGTATTTATTCATCAAATATGGTAGGAATCGTGACTAATGAATTTCTAAGGTTTATAAAAATCATGTATTTTTCAAATTCAAAATTTTCTTTTATCTTTCTGCAGTTGAACATCATTAGTATATAATATCAGCAGATTATTTATTTCCTTTTGGTCCCTAAGTTATTTAATTTAGTTAATAAAGTACTTTGTCTATTTCAATGTATTATTTGTATATCTCACCAAATTATGTGAAAATTCTGAAATAAATTTTTCCTTCTTGTTTCTTTGTTTGTTATGAATTTCGTGCAAAGCTACACGAGGGCTGTATTTGCTAGTCTTCCCTAATTTAGCAGTGAAAGACTAGATGGCAGGCAGCTAGTCATCACCACCCACTGCGAACTCTTCAGCTACTCTTTTACCAATGAATAGTGGGATTAACTGTCACATTATAATGCCTCCATGGCTGAAAGGGCGAACATGTTTGGTGGGCCGGGGATTTGAACCTGCGACTCGCAGATTGCGAGTCGAGCACTCTAACCACTTGCCCATGCCAGGCTTACCTTCTTGAGAATTGGACATGTATTTCTGAAAAAAAACTAGTCACTATAAATTATCTTATAAAAAAACACTTATAATAAGTGTAAAACATAAAGGAATTTAAATTGGAAAAATTCATAAATTCATGTGTAAAGGATAGTAAAGTGTCTTTAAATCATGTAACTCATAACGTTGAAAATCTCACATTTACAGTATCCTGTTTATGACATAGCATAATGATTCTTGTGATACCAAAATGCATTTCTGAGAATCTTTGATAAATTTTCAAGACAACAGTTTCTATTTTTATGTTTTTGAGATTACTTCATCAGTTTTTGTTTATATTTACCATTTTTTTGCTGTAAAACACAAATGACACCTTATAAACACCACTGCATATTCATCCAATGGTCATTTTCATTCAGTCTCTCTAGTTGTAGCTACATAAATTTGTCTCCTAGGGACATCACTTGTTTTGTTATACTTTATTCACCAGCACTGATATGTTGTATCTTTAGTATCTATGTTTTAAGACCTTTGATCATGAGTAACTAATTTTATGGACACTATACATATTTTTGGAGAGTAAATATCCTATTTGACCTCTTTATTGATGACCCTTAGATACAAGCCAAAACTCCAAGTGCATTATCCAGTGGCTATGGTTCTCAAGTACTGTCCACAACTCCAGTGTCTAGTGAGGACTCAATGTCCATTAGAAGTTTGAGTGCTGAAGACCTTACAAGCAGTGAGCCCAATAGATCAATGCTGAGAAATCCCGATGATCTGAATGTTCAGTAAGATAACACTGAAACTAACATAGTCTCTTGTACTTAATATAACTGAGACATCCTGATGGTCTGAAGATCAAGTTCATATATTTGTCTGGAACTAATAGACGAATTTTAGTAATCTTTATAGCCTTTAGTGCAGTGGATCCCATACTTTTCTCGGTGCTGATCACATTTCAGACATCCCAAACATGTACGACCCAGTCTGTCCAAAAATGTATTTCAACCAGTTCATTCATCTTTGTTTGGTGCATACAAATTTTGTTCGACAAACTGTGTCTGCCACAATCCAAATTGGGGGTCACGATCCTGAGTTTGGGACACACTGCTTTAGTCCTTAAAATAACTAAGAAATACTGATGACCTTAAGATCCATTTAAAATAAAACTAGAATTGATAGATAAATTTTATTAATCTTTACGGCTTACAGTACTTACTATCAGATGTTACCTTAGATATTGAAACAGTTGTACAGATGAGTGTTGGTACATCTGAAATCTACTGTTCTCAGAGCTGATCATATTTGATTTGTTGCTGATGTGAGTTTAATACATGTGCCTTTTTTAATTGTATAACATTTTAATTATCTTAGTAAAAGTTTAAGATTTAAACTTCCAGTCTTTAGGCCTCAAATACTGTCGCATAATAACCATGATCTTTTTATTTTTAACTCTTCCATAAGTCGTATGACTGATTTCTTCTCTTGGCAGTGATTTCCACTCCCATGACTAAACTTGTCTGACCTTTGGTCTTAGTAAAGCATAAATTGGCAAGGAGCAAAAGGTTTCAATTAATATCATAATTGAACCACTTAAATTTAAGTCTTGCATCAGTATTTTTATATGACATTGTAAAGTGCAGTTATTATTAGTGTTATTGTTAATATTTATTGTTACTTGTATGTAAACACTATCTAGCACTATGTAATATATATATTTGATTGTACTTGAATTATAGAAGTGAAGACAAGATGGACGGTGCATGTTGCACAGAAAGTCAACCCACACTGGAGAAAGTCACTCAGATAAAGATGGGTATATCTCCTGCACAACTTGAAGAGCTGTCGAAGTGTTGTCACATATCGCATCTTGAAACTCAAGATCAGAAAACAAATAACAATACAGAAGAAAACATGTGGAATGTTGGTAGATATTCAGATTTCTATAACAAACAGACCGGAGAAAGTCGAGGTGATATTTCCAAAATTTTACAAACTGCTGCTGATGTGGTGGGAAATATAAATAGTAAAGCTTACTGTGATAAGGAAGGTACAGAGAATATAAGACAAACAACTTGTATTAAAGAGAAGACTAACAATAAGTGTGAGTCTTTTTTGCTACAGAAAAGTGATGATGCAATTGGGGAAACTATAGACATTGAAAAGAAAAACATTGGGTGCGAGAATAAAATTTCAGAAAATACTTCAATTGAACAGAATGTGATAGAGACATCAGTCATTGTTAATAACTCAGCAGACAGGCGATCTAGCATCCGGCTGCGAATAAAGAAATCAAAGCAGGTAAATCCAAGTTATCGGGCATCATATCCAGGTGGCACACCATCTCTGAAAATTGATTGCCAACAAGATGATATTAATGGAAGTAGTATCCCAGAAGAGAATGTGTCTTCATTTTTAGGTGGTAAGAAATTCAAGTTACATACACTTATAGTAATTGTGGAAAAGGCAATATTTAGCAGTTAAAATACAAGAAATTTTCAATAACTCATCTTTGAAAGTTTGTGATATTTGTTATTTTTGTACTGCTCACCAAAATTCATGGAATATGCTTGGATTTAGTCAGGCTAGTACAGGAAAATAACCATTTACTTATTAAAGTATTTAGTGTATACAACAAACCAAGGTGTAACTTCAACATAGAATTTTTTTTTAAATAATGCACTAGCCAAAGAAAACGAGAGGCTGCTAAGATGATCGATTGTCCTACCTATAGGTACCAAAAATGTTATTTGCCCTTTTTTCCTTTAAAATTTGTAAACTTACATCCAATGCCAAGATACAGTGATAGATACATAGCTCAAATTTAGTCAACCAATAGATTATGTTCAGAAACCAATGAGATAACACAAAAATATACCTGGTTATCTATAGATTTAATAATGTAAGTCTGTGAGTTGGTATTTTTTAAAATCATTATTATTATTACTAGCCACGACCAGCAAAACATTTTTGATCTGTTCAACCCTCAAAACAAGCAAAATTTATGCATGAAATTTGTAATAAAATATATGCTTGGATTAAGATTTAAATTAAAGTATTTCATAAACTTGGATATGCTGAACTCTTTAGCACGGTTATAATTTTATTTTCGTTTAACTGAAACCGGTATTGTAATATACATAACGTGCTATATTTTGGAAGAAACTGTACTATATTCATTCACAACTTTTTTATTTTATAACTAAATCTTGTGTCTGTCAGTTTTACTTTTCCAGCTTTCAAACTTACTTGTTAAAAAATCATTATATTTTGTATTTGAATAATGACGTATGCCCCTTACATTTTACAACTAACTGCAACATTCAACAATAGCAGATTACTGCACATGTGCAATTATGTATTGAAGTTGGATCGTACGAAAGTTGTTGCATGACCTTTTGTAAAATTTCAACTATTGAAGGTAATCTTTTATGCATGTACTAGCCGCAAGAACTTTATATTTACTTTACTTTGCAATAATTTAGCTTCAGTTCGTTTTTTAGACTTTTAGCTACTATTTTCTTCAGTACGGGTTTTATTCTTCGTTGTTGTGAGTTTCTTTGTTTCAATTCTGTACACTATTATAAATACCATTATTATACTTTATTGTTTACTCTATATGTAGTTTTATTAAATAAAGATATGTCTACATGAGTTTGTTTGTCTGACTGCATAAAATGTTTTCAAATAGACCAAGATTTATCAATCCAACACATAACGGCTGCACGAAAGTGCAGCTTAAGTGTCATGCGTGAAAATGATAGAACAACAAAAATTCAAGCGAATGGCATGAAAACTATCGCAAATGGTTTGCAGGTAATGAAGGCAAACTTAGTTGATTATATAGAAATGTGTTCACAAAATGATAAGCATATGGTTTTGAATGAACTACGCATGCGTATTTTAGACCTAAATATGTCGAGAAAGCCCATAGCAATTGTATTTAGTGTAATGTTAATTTTAGTTTAGAAGATTACATGTGGGTTAAATGTTGTCTGTGTGAAATAATTTGCAAATTAAAAACTAAAGTTGAAATCGAAACCAGTCGTCACTGATGGCAAGGACATTGTGCATTATGTAGCATATATATTGCGTTAAAAAGTTTGACTAAACAATTGATCAAGAAATTTGCAATAAAAGTTCCAGATAGACAAACAAAAGCATAGTATTTATATAGTTTAATGCAAATCATTGGCAATAAACTGATTCAAAATGGTATTAAGCTATGAAGAACTGGAGAAAAATCTTGAATTTACAGAAAGTTTTAATTCTTATTCATCTATGAGATAAGTACACAATATTTGTTGATGTCTCCATTTGATGTGCTTGAGATGGTAGATTCTGGATTTACAATAAAAGTATTAAAATCTAAAGGTAATGCCTGTTCTGAATACATTCATTAAGAAATGTTAACTGTCAATGAATAGGTAAAGTTGCTGAAACTTAATAGAAACATTTGCTTTACCTAAGTGGTTACTATCAATCATTAAGTAATTATGGCAGAACATTCATGCATTAATCTCACTGTGGCTTACCTGCTACTGCACATGCTTTAAAATATTATATTTATCACAATTAGCTTTTATTTCAAGATATTGCTAACAATATACTTTTTGTAGCTTGTACACCACATGCTTACATAAATGATTGTATTTATTCTAAGGAGATTGGTTTTTTTTTATATGTTGATCTACAAAGCCAGGCAATTTCATTCTTCTGAGTATTTATTATTGACAAAATAATGAAATGTTGTTGCTGTAATTTATAGTTTTGTGACTTTTTCTGACAATTCATTTCTCTTTCAGAAGAAGATTCTTCTAGTCTTAGCTCCAGTATCAGCCATCCTAGTTTAAAAGATTCAGCTGGTATTCATATCCCATCAGTAGGAGAGACCGTGGTTATCAGTCCTCACAACAAAACAGGAGTTGTAGCATTTGTTGGCCAAACAGAATTTGCTTCTGGGATATGGGCAGGCATTGTGCTTGATACGCCTTCTGGTGATTGTTTCTTTTGTAATAGTATTATTCTTACATCAACAATACAATCCTTTTTATGTCTACTGCCTCCCAATGGCACAGCAGTAGGTCTGTGGACTTATAATGCTATAAATTGGGTTTTGATACCTGTGATGGGTGCAGTACAGTTAAGATCCAGACATTTAGTTACTGGTCTTTTCATTACTGCCACATTTTTTTACTAGGACAACTTCTGATGGGTGCATTCTTGTTACATCATTTTTGTGGCATGGCAGTTTATGTTACGAATAGTAATTTTTTGATAGATAGATTTTTAAATATAAAATTGATTGGTGACAGTAATAAAAAATGATAATAGATCATAGATTGTACAATCATTTGGGAACCTTTAAAAATTACATAATGCTATGAGGGTGAGAGGGTGTCTAAGCCTGTACTGTGATGTGTTACAGGGAGTGTCATGAACAGTGTTACATAAAACATAAATTAGTGTGAAAACGATTTAGGTCTACAAAAACTCTTATTGTGCTTTAACATACTTTGATTTCAATTCAAAACACCTTTAATAACTTGAACATCTGCAAACATAATATATGTATCATTTGTGTGAGAAAGGGGTGATGTGGTGTCCTCTGATACTTGTAATTGAAACCTTTTGTAATGATGTGCCATAACAAAATGTTTTTCGTAACAAAAAGCACGTCATAAGCTATTCGCACAGATAGCCCATTGTGTAGCTTTGTGATCTTAACTACAAATAAACAAGTCTACTTTAAAGGACTTTGACCATTTAAATATTTATTTTTATGGATATCTTGGTTATAAATTCATAAATGTAATGTTATTACTCCTTCCCTTTCTTGCTGTGTTTAATTGACAGTCATGTTGTTACAAAGCTATTATTGTTTTACATCATTGTCAGAAATAGATACAAATGAACAAACATTTAAATATAATCATTTCCACCAATAAAAAGATTTTTTATCATTTTGAAAATCAGAAATACAAACGAACAAACAATTAAATATTATCATTTCTACCAATAATATGAATAATATTAATAAACATTTAAATATAATCATTTAAACACTTAATCATATAAACACTTTTATATGTGTTCTATTTTAAAAAAAACAACAACAATTTTTACAGAACTGTTATTATTCTTAAATACTTATTCCCTGACAATTTGTTGTACCAAACGACAGATGGCAGCATATACTTCTCTCTCATTATGGCTTAAGGCCTACAGGGCAAAATTATGGGCCATAAAAACAGGCCAAACTTTTTTTTTGATATAAAAATAATACCCAGGTGTACACTCTCAGAATTCCCTTAGTATGCATGTAAAGTTTCAAGTCTCTAGGCTTTTTCTTCTTGGAGCTATGGTGCTGACACACACAGAGGCTGTTTTATTAGTATAGATTCTCCAACTAATTAATGATGTTACAAATGTGGAATATATTTTTTTCTGAGTAGGTCCAAACAGTAGTGGCTAACGAGTCTGTTTTCTTATTTTTCAATGTTTTATTTAGTTTTCATGTGATTTAATCATTGCGAGTTAGTTTTATATTTGCTTTAAGACCTTTTTAATTTAAGTTATATGCATCTTTATTTCAGTACACAATCTCTCTCATTAAAGATCCTTAACTTGCTACTGGGAAATAACTTGGTAGAGTATCTTGGATTATAGTAAACTTAGCAAGCAATCATATTGACACTTACATAAAACACATTTATACAGAACCTTGAACAGAAGAACTAATATTGATAGTTTGTAATATAATTTTTGTTTTATATAATTATGCCATCCAATCTAAAGTTCCAAGTTTTAGCTCCAGTGTGTGGGAAATCTGGAAATAAACAATTTCATGAGTAAAGAAGAATTAGTGACTAAATACATAAAATCTGAGCAAAATTTCTTGAACGTTCCATGAAAATGTTTATATATTCTGTTTAAAATACACTACCAGCAGTCTGTTATCCATTCTCTGTGAGTTATGACAATCTGTTCACATGCAATACAATAAAAATGAAAACATACTATCTTTAGGCAACATCAGTTGTACTTAGAAATAATCATTTTTTGCAGAAACAAATTACTTGTGGTATCTTAACAAAATAATAATGGATGAATAATAATCCTACATGAGGTATTGCCATAAGCTCTAGTAGATGATATTTCGATAAGCTCTAGTAGACATTGTATTATTTTATAATAATCCTACAAAAGATATTGCAATAATCTCTAGTAGACATTGTATTTGCCATAATCTCTAGTAGACATTGTATTAAATTATAATAATCCTACAAAAGATATTACCATAAGCTCTAGTAGACATTGTATTTGCCATAATCTCTAGTAGACATTGTATTTGCCATAAGCTCTAGTAGACATTGTAGTTGCCATAATCTCTAATAGACATTGTATTATTTTATAATAATCCTACAAAAGATATTGCCATAAGTTCTAGTAGACATTGTATTATTTTATAATAATCCTATAAAAGATATTGCCATAAGCTCTAGTAGACATTGTATTTGCCATAATCTCTAGTAGACATTGTATTATTTTATAATAATCCTACAAAAGATATTGCCATAAGTTCTAGTAGACATTGTATTATTTTATAATAATCCTATAAAAGATATTGCCATAAGCTCTAGTAGACATTGTATTTGCCATAATCTCTAGTAGACATTGTAGTTGCCATAATCTCTAGTAGACATTGTATTATTTTATAATAATCCTACAAAAGATATTGCCATAAGCTCTAGTAGACATTGTATTATTTTTTCATGGCTTAGAATTAAAAAAAACAACTACTGAACTTTACTTTCCACTATGGGGGTGAAGAAACAAAATAATTGAAAACAGAGAGAAAGATAATCTATGTATTTAATTAAATTTACCGAAAATACCCTTTTCTGCTTGTTTAGTGCTCAGACAGAGAGTGGTTCTCTAATCTCATTACTCTCCATAGTTGTCACCACTAAGTGCTTCTCTACCATCGTTACTCTCCATGGTTTGTTATACTCTTGATAATCCTGCCAGATAGCAGTGCCTCTTACTTTCATTGATTCCATCAGTTGCCAAAAATACTGTTAATAGTGAAGGTACTTAACTGATGAAGCAATGTATTCTAATATATATATAAGTAGGTACATAAGGAAAGGATATTTAAATAGCTATGCTGATGGCCACATTAATTTTTAGTTTTGCTCTAAGTTCACAGTTTATTTTGATCGGAAGTTATTATTTATTCGTCTCAGTATGAAAAGTGACTATCTCCTTACACATCCCTCAAGTATCAAAAATAAAACACATTAACTTGTAGTATTAAATCTTTTTGTTAAAAACGACGAATTAGTTCTGAATAACCATATAATTGATAGTGTATTCATAATATAACTACAATTAAGATATTGAAAATTGACAGAACTAATATTTGTAAAAGTTGTCTATGTTCTTTAAGAGTGGAGAACATTAAGATATTTTAGTGTACATCTGTTATTTCTCTTAGGGAAGAACGATGGATCTCTGAATGGGGTACAATATTTTCAGTGCAAACCCTGCTTTGGTATATTTGTCCGACCAGAGAAATTGACTCTGTGCAAGAGAAGAAGAACAAGTGGCAGTTCAGATAGATTGGTCCGATCTAGTAGTAGTGACGAAGGTAAAAAACACTTGAGTTTAGCACAGACCTTGAGGTACAAAACATTAATCTTCATCAGGGTATGCTGTCAAAATGAAGGACATCTCCGGGTGATGCTGTCACACATTGATATTTCAGTTTTTATGTACAATTAATTTAGTTACGTTTAAGCCATATTACGATACCGAAGTTCGAGTACTAAAATTCAAAAATGTGCTTCTCTGCTTGAAATTTCTTGTTGTCATCGATCTTCTTTAGGGAAAAACAACATCTGAATTTAGTCACTGAAAGACACGCACTATCAATAAATATAATTTTGAAACAGATAAAAATTATTGTTGTAGGTTTCAAACTGAGTGCTATGGAAGAAAATCATGGTGGTAATCTAAATATTGTTTAGCACACAAGTAAAAAATTAACTTTAATTGATATAAACATATATGCATCTATAAAGATTTTTAAAATCATACAGGCATGTTTGAAGAAGTTAAAATCGAAAATAAACTACTCTGAAAATTGTTGTTTGTTTTACAGGATTTTTGGTTGGGAAGTTTTCTTCACGACGAAGAAGTTGTGATGAAAATCATTCGTTGTCAGCCAAAGGCTACAGTTTTAACTTTCAACAAGGATGTAGCAGAAAAGACTCAAGCGCAAAAAGAAAACATGTTTCTGAAGAACCTGCAGCAGGAAGCCTGAGGAGTTATAGTGGAACAGAAGGTGTAGGAGTGTCATTGACACGGAAACAAATTTGTAGATCTAGGTATTACAAGGGTAACCAGTAGTAGACATTAAAGTATTAAACTAAGTCATCCTTCCTGTGGACACTAATTGTAGCTAGATGTATTATAGTGTTTTATTAATGTTTGTATGGTGGTATCAGTTTGTGCTACGTATAATTCTGACTGATAATCGATATCTTATTTGAGATGCTCCTTTTATTATGTTGCGACTGAGTTACTAACACCCGAAGATAAGCTGTTTTCTGAAGAAGAGCATTTTTAGATGCTACTTATTAACAGAATCGTTACTGTCTACTATCTTGTGACACCCAAAGACGTATTGTGCTAATAAAATCAGTTGTCTGAGTTGATGTTTAAACTGCCAGTAAATCATAAATATGGGCAAGTAATTATAACTATTGTTTTCAGAAGTGTGCCATTTCCCCTGTAATAGTAAATGTGTGAATTTCCAACAAAACATCATGCATAGTCTTACAATGGTTGGTGTTTTGATTATCTCTTATGAAGATTGTAAAGTTGTCAGCACTTGAATCTATCAGTGAACACCTTATCTACCATTTCCTGATATTAACCCTATCCCTGTCTTGTACATCACATGCGATTCAGAACATAATGCTAAAGCACCTGAGTATAATAAGTGATACACAACTATATTTACTTGAAAAGGGGCTAATGCTCGTGAAGGTGGCAACAGAAACTGGTTGTTTTGGTTCAATGTACGAGTCAAGAAGAGATCTTCATATGAACATCACACATGATGCTCAAAGAGTATGTGAATGATGATAGATTAAGTTACTTTTACTCAAGAGAAAATGTAAACCTAGGATAAATACAATAATTTGTTTTTATTAATTCTTTATATTTTTGGTACCCATTACACAAATGTTCCTACTTGGGTAAGTAGTCAAATATACATATCCAAAAAAATCATTAAATGACTTAAAACAGGGAAAGGGTTAATAGAGTTACCAATGCTTATACTCCGTCACAGACATTGTTAGGGCTAATTGCCAGTGCTTAGGCTGTGTTACAGAGATTAGTAAGGTTACCAGCTGGTACTTAAGGTCTGTCACAGACCTTGTAAAGGTTATCAGCTAGTGTTTAGACTCTGTAACAAACATTTTGTATGGTTAACAGCTAGTTTTAGACTCTTTTTACAAACCTTGTTAGGGTTACCAGCTAGTGCTTACTCTCTGTCACAGACCTTCTTAGGGTTACCAGAGTTAGAATATGTCACAGGTATTGTTAGGGTTAAATGCCAATGCTTAGGCTTTTTAACAAGTGCTGTTAGGGCTACCAGCTATTATTTAGGCTCTGTCACAGATTTTGCTAGAATTATCAGCTAGTGCTCAAGCTCTGCCACAGACCTTGTTAGGGTTACCAGTTAGTGCTGAGGATATTTCACAGACATTTTTAGGTTCCCAGTGCTAGAATCTGTCACTTGTAGTAATTGTTAAGGTTAAAAATGCTGTCCACCATAGCAAGTCTTAGTTGTATACAATTAAAAAGTAGTTATATGTTAAAAACAAAGAACAAATGATAATTTTTTTTTCACTTATAAAGGTATTTAGAAATGTTTATAGTAGAAATGTTTTAACTAAAGAGTACATTGAATTTGAATTCTTATTAGTTATTTGTAAGGTAATATACAATGTTTCTCTCAGCCAAGTATGTTTTTTTATATTCATATATGTTTTAACCAAGTTTCAACTAGTGTTAATAGTTAGTTATATGTTTAATGCTGTTTATATATGTTTATATGTTTATTGGTTACTTATTTATAATCAACATTTGTTTCAGTCAGCTGATACGTGTGTTCGTTTCCAAATATCTGTTTGTCTGAGCATGTGTTAGTATTTCTGCTGAAATACTGTTTATCTCAGTTTATGATGGCATCTATGTTCAAACATCTTTTGGAATCGAAATCTACTGGTATTTATATAATTTTTTTAACACTGCTGGCAACAGTTTTTCGGTACTTTCTTTATTTCTTTAATTGTATGGTAATGCTTATGTTGTTCATTTGTTTCAGTTTAACCTCTGTTATTTATATAATAAAAAGAGAATTATGTTTGTTTTTGTATATTTGCTTTTGTAAAACGAACTTTGCGCTATAGTCAGTTTTGTTACTTGGGTTTTTGTATACATGTTTTAAATCACTTTTTTATGTTTCTAGTTAGGACCCCAGTCTTTGAAAGTTAAAATAGTCCTTTCTTCTGTCTCTATTGGGTATTTACTCTGATTATACTCTTCTAAAGATGCAGGTGTAAGGAAAGATATTGCATTTAATGTTGATAATAACATTTAAATATGTTCCATTGAGAATATTTGATTTTAATAGCATAATACTTGTTTTATAGTATTTGTTTGGGTTTCTATCCTGTCAAAATTATATTGACAGGTGAATATTCCTTAAAACTGAAATGTTTGATATTAGATATTGAATTGAAGGAACAAATTCAAGCTCTGTGATAGTGCAAGCTTGTTTGGGTAAACTTGTGTCTATGTATGTATATATGTGTGTGTATATATATATATATAGAGAGAGAGAGAGAGAGATAATGGAATGTGCTAAACCTTACATGAAAAAGTAAATCTTGAGAGCAGTTAAATTCAGGATATTTGAGTTATTTACAACAGTATAAATATATCACTTTAAAATATTATCAAGTAATATCAAACTAGTTGAGTTACAAGTAAACAGAAATGACTGATCTTGTTATTGGTATCATAATTATCTTTAAATACTGTTGATTCTACAGGAAACTCATCAAATAAAACTTTTTACTTTGCAAGTACTTGATTGTTTTTATCAGTTTTGAAATGAATAATATTTCCTTTTATTACAGACATGCTCGTTGGTGCATGTTGATATTGAAATGCTGGCCGGTGCATGTTGATATTGACATGCTGGCTGGTGCATGTCAATATTGACATGCTCATTGGTGCAAGCTGATACTGACATGCTGGTTGTTGCATGTTGATACTGATATACTGGCTGGTGCATGTTGATACTGACATGCTGTTGGTGTGGATGATACTGACATGCTGGTTGTTGCATGTTGATATTGACATGCTGGCTGGTGCATGTTGATATTGACATGCTGGCTGGTGCATGTTGATATTGACATGCTGGTTGATGCATGTTGATACTGACATGCTGGTTGATGCATGTTGATACTGATATGCTGGTTGATGCATGTTGATACTGATATGCTCATTGGTGCAAGCTGATACTGACATGCTGGTTGTTGCATGTTGATACTGATATACTGGCTGGTGCATGTTGATACTGGCATGCTCGTTGGTGTGGATGATACTGACATGCTGGTTGTTGCATGTTGATATTGACATGCCGGCTGGTGCATGTTGATATTGACATGCTGGCTGGTGCATGTTGATATTGGCATGCTGGTTGATGCATGTTGATATTGACATGCTGGTTGTTGCATGTTGGTATTGACATGCTGGCTGGTGCATGTTAATATTGACATGCTGGTTGTTGCATGTTGATATTGACATGCTGGCTGGTGCATGTTGATACTCATATATTTGCTGTTTTATGTTTTATATAAATGACCTTTAACTCCATAGAGGTTTGAAATGATTTTGTTGTTTTCTATTTTTTTATAAATAATTATTGGTTCAGTCATCTATCAAACAATATAGCAAGCATAGTACATGTGTGTCTTAACATGTGGTTGTCTTTTTTTAAGTGTGAAAAAAAATTGAATTTATTAAGATGACAATAGATATCTAAACAAATGAAAAATTCTGTGTTCTGTAGAATACACAGTATTACTGGGGAACACGTATATATATATATATGGATTTCAAAGTAAATTGGTAAACTAAAATGGAGTGGGTTTAAATTTCTTTAAAAAAATTGTTTTAAGTAATAAAGGAAATAGTGATCACAATTAGTTTATTCAAAAACAAATATTTACTCGATGGTATGATGATACAAATACTAACTCTGATGTGTCTAACTGTCTGGTTTTAGTCTTTGTTGTTTTCTAGTTATCTTTGAAAATACGTTTTTTATATTTTATATATAATGTTAAGAAATAATTATAGATTTCTGATGAACTCTGAATTTATGCTAAAAACAAATTAAACTAGACATTTTACAAGAGTGAATACTAGTAGAGAACAAATATAACAAATATAAACACTGTTGGTTAAATAAACATTTCCTGAAATGGTAAAAATTGTCAAAGGGAATAGTAATGGTAATTAAAACAAATTCAGTTCAGAACTGTAGTAATTACAAATAGGACTACTGGTGAAAAGTAGTCCAGAACTGTAGTAATTACAAATAGGCTACTGGTGAAAAGTAGTCCAGAACTGTAGTAATTACAAATAGGGCTATTGATGAAAAGTAGTCCAGAACTGTAGTAATTACAAATAGGACTACTGGTGAAAAGTAGTCCAGAACTGTAGTTATTGTGAATAGGGCTAATGATGAAAAGTAGTCCAGAACTGTAGTAATTACAAATAGGACTACTGGTGAAAAGTAGTCTAGAACTGTAGTGATTGTGAATACGATTGTTAGTGAAAAGTTGTTTGGAACTTTATAAATAGCCAATAGGACTATTGGTTGAATAAATCTATCTTTGAATTCTAGAAAACACGAAGGGAACTAAGAATATGGTCAAAGAGAAATCATTCCTGAATTCTAGTAAATATTAACGGATATAGAATTAGTAATTAAAGAAAATTATCTAAAAACTTTAGCAAATTTGAATGGAAATAGGACTACTAACTAAAAGTAAACTATTTCAGATCTGTAATATAATAGTACTGGTTAATGATATGAAATTATCAATTATAGGTATAGGACAAGTTTGTGAGAAACTTTGTAACTGTGAAGACAAGTATGATTGTTGGTTTAAAAGAAAAATACTACATGTAAATAGAATGGCAGTTTTGAGAGAAAAAACCTGAAGATAACTACGTGATAGTACACTGCTTTGTAAGATGAAGGACTAATGATATAAGGCTTGAAAATGTTTAGTTATATGAGGTCTGAAAGATTTGACTGGAAAGTTTTACTAAATAAGAGCTGAAGAGGAAATGCTTGAAACTTTATAACTTCGAGAGGAGATAAAAAGTACAGTATGAAATGAATAATTTTAGTTTTTTCAACAATTTGAAAAAAAAATAAAATGAAGGTAGAGTTATAACTGATAATAAAGAAGATTTCAAACTCATTTAGTGGAACCACATAAAATAAAAAAAAACTGTTTCATGAAACTACTCAATATATTGGAAATATGTAGGCTTATACTCATGATAAAGTGTTTGAATTTCTTTAGTAGAATCACATAAAATAAACGAACGTGTTTCATGAAATGTAAAGTCAGTTATGTGTCATTAACTTGCTGCTATGGTGATACAGAAAAGGAATTTGAAGATGATCTAATTACAGCTTAAGAATGAAGTGTTGTACCATGTAAAATTCAGCTTTAGCCCAGTCAGGATTTGTAGATTTAAGACTGGTTATTCCATCATCTTGTAAAATGTCAAATTAAGTCACATCTTGAAGGAGTGTGTCTCTCTCGTGTTTCATTGAAGTTGATATTTTGCACTTCTAAAAGTTCTTTTAATGTATACAGTCAGTACAGATTTTGACCAAAGTAATATATATATATATTTGTCTGACAGTTTCAAATAAACAAGCTGTTTAGTAGTTTGAATCGCTTTGATGGAATAAGCTTTACTTCTGCTGTTTCAAAGGGTACTTTTAACTTGTGTGATGTGTAATGTACAGTGCTGTTTACAATTTAGAGTTGACCCACTTTTATCTAACTCTGATACAATAGATACTAAAATTATTGGTTTGCTGCTATTATTTTCTTAGCAACGACAAATCAGTTAGGAGTACAATAAACAACGGTTGTAGCAGTGTGAATTAATATTAAGTGTGAGATTGTAAGAGTCAGGTGTGACCCAGTTGATAGTGTGCCAGACTGTGAATCTGAGGATCAATGGTTTGTGTCCCATGGCCACACATTCACACTTTACAATTTCCGGACACACGTTCATTACGGAAGTGATGGAGAAATCCCACTATTTGATTAGAGTAGCCCAAGAGTTGGTAGAGGGTGCTGTTGACTAGATGACTTCGCTCGAGATAGTTTATATTTTCAAATCTTATGTGGCTTTGTGCAATTAGCTGAAACAAACAAACTCTTCTGGCATTTTTTCTGGATATTATTGGGTAATATACTTCCAGACTTCTAACTGCATATACATACCACTGTGCCTCTGTTAACTTTCTCTATTGATTCTGCTTTTCCCTGTCAATACTCTCCCCACCAAATATACTCATTAATGTTGATTTCCAAGCTCCGAGGGGAGATATCAACATTATTGAGTATATTTGCAAACGTTATAGCTATTATCGCATTAAAAAGTAAAATTTGGACCAATGAACCTTCTTCCTGATGACCAGTCATTTTGACAAGACTTGCCACTTTTGATATAACCTCAACATGGTCCACTATTGACTGTAGTCTCTTCATTTTCTAAAAAAATTCCATCCTCTCAGATTTAAAGGTGGTTAGGGTGCTCGACTCGCAATGTGAGGGTCGCGGTTCTAATCCCCGTCACACCAAACATGCTCGCCCTTTCAGCCGTGGTGGTGGTGGTG